TATTTTGCTACATTTTGCTTTATACAATGTATTTTGCCTTATACAAGATCTGGAGTTCCATAGCAATGTGTAGGGCTCAGCATCTTGCCAGTCACTCCCTTCTCAACATCCATCCTATGCTGAGTAGCTAGAGAGCCCCCAGGTGAAATTCCTTGAGGTAGAGCCAAGTTCTCCTCCCACCCCACCCCAGGTACTTGCCACCTCTGGGGCTGGGGCTGCCTGGGGGAAGGCCTAGCATTGAATTTCCAGCATGGTCAGCAGGGGGCAGAATACAGCTGGGGCCTCTGCTCTCAAGGGCATTTGGTGCCCCTCTGGGAGCAAGTCTTCTGCTCACACAATGACTGGTTTCCCTAAAAGAAAGGGTCTTCTACTCCACATGTGTGGAGTGGTCAAACAGGGCTGAGAACTTGACCCTGCCCAGTGTCCTCTCAGTCAGTCGTCTGGGCCCCTCAACAAGCTCAAGGGTAGGGCCCTGGGGAGGGGGTACAGGCCTTCCCTGTTGCTGACCCCCAACTCTTCCCTCCAGCAAGAGCACTGGTTTGAAAAGGCCCTGCGAGACAAGAAGGGCTTCATCATCAAGCAGATGAAGGAGGACGGCGCCTGTCTCTTCCGGGCTGTAGGTGAGTCTCTGCCTTAGCCTTCAAGGGCCTAGGGCTGCCCCTGAGCTGCGTCCCAGTTTTCAGGAGTAACCCCTGAGACAGAGTCGGGGGCAGAGTGAGCTGGTCTTTTAGGTACTCCAGGCCCCAGCCTCAAGTTAGTATCTGGACTCTAGCCCTCAGTCATGAGGCAGTGTGGTGGTGTGAAATAATAACAGTAATAACAGTGATAAAGAAAATAACATTACTTAGGGACAGATTGCTCTGTCAAGCACTACAAGAAACCCTTTCAATTCTCCCCCCCAAGACTACTGTTTCCATTTGTCAGATGAGAAAAGAAGCCCAGAGATGGGGAGTAGCTTGCCCAGGGTCAGATAGTACATAGCAGAGCCGGGAGTCGGAGTCTGGGTTAAGTTAGTCTGAGGCCCGGGCTCTTAACTACAGCACACTAATCTTGCCTGGGATTATAAACCTTTTTTTTAAACTTACACAAAAGTAGGGAGAATAGTGAACCCTCATGTACCTATCATTCATCTTCCAAATAGTCATCAACACATGGCCAGCCCTATTTCATCACTACCCTGCCCACTCTTTCTCATTCTCTTGAAACGAGTATTTTTAAACCCAAACTCCAACATTGGGTCATTTCATTTGTAAATATATTTGTATGTTTCTCTAACTAACAGATAAGGGGTGTCTCTCTCCCTCTCTCCCCCCTCCCCCTTCTCCTC